TGTAAGTTAGTGCTCCCTGAACACCGAAGATGAGATGCCTTTGCTGTCTTATTTGGAACTGATGCCCCAAATTGCGCTTGTGGTGAAGTTCTCCTGGGTTTCCTTTCAGCGAGAAGTGGTCAGCTATGAATGACGGAGGCTCACGAAGCACACTAACAGCTTCAGTGTGGGGCTCTAAGCACACTAACAGCTTCAGTGTGGGGCTCTAAGCACCAGAAATGCCACTCAGTACCAGGATGTAAACACACTTAGGGTCCTTCATCATTACCATTTTCTGAACTTTCCCCTTAAATGCTCTTTAAGGTTAGTGTAGTCACATTAACAGGAAGCTCCCATGTATTCCGTATATATATTTACTAATGGATTTCCTTGATTCATTCAGTGCAATGAATGAGAAACATTTTCATTTCGCCATAAAGGCACTAACATTAGCAGCAGCTCTGCCGCTGAGTACATGCCTGTACGTCGTCTCTTTGGCTGTAGTCATGGCAAAAGGAGAATGACAAACCTTTTCCGTGAAATATGGAGAAGGCTAAAATTGCTGAGAGGATGATGGGAATATATGGATGCAATTATTAAATAAATTTAGAAATTATGAGTACATGAGATGTGTGAATTATGTCTGACATGTATGCAGTCCAGTCCAACTCTCTCTCTCTCTCTCTCTCTCTCTCTCTCTCCATTCAAAAACAGCTTTCTCCATTAGCTTTTGAATCCCTGTGACCCTGTAACAGAATCACTGTCCTTAGCAGACTCATGTCTCCAGTGTGCCACCGGGAAAGCCAGGCTACAGATACACAAAGAAACCAGCCAGCAAAATGCCCTAAATGTGGCTAATCTTACAGTAAATGGGGGGGGGGGGATGCACATGTTCAGCACAGGAAAAACAAAAAGTACTGCTCAGAGTTGCAGCTGGGCTGCTTCACTGGAAGTCCCAGTTGGTGGCTCACGTGTGTTGTCTTTGTTGTCTTTTGGATTTATCACAGAGTGTGAGGAGCTAACAAAAAGCCTTGAAGCCGCATTAGAGCAGGAAACCACCACCTTTCTGCAGCATGTTAGTGAAAAGTCACACTGCTGCAGTCATTGAGGCCGGAGGATGTGACCAAATGTCTGCTCATAACTATACAGTATGTCACATATATCATATTCATGTATGTGTGAGGGGTACCACTTTGTACACAACACAGCCTTTTAGGTCAGTAATTCCAATATGTATATACAGTATATATAAATGAACACTTTATGAAAGGCTTTGAGGCAGTGTAATGACCAAAAGAAGTGTTCAACATCTTAAAATTTTCTCAAATTGTAGACTATTCACAATACCCTCCTTTTGCTGCTATGACAACATTGCAGACTCTTGGCATTCTTTCAGACAGCTTCCAGATGTAGCCACCTGGAATGCTTCCCCAGCTAGATAGATAGATAGATAGATAGATAGATAGATAGATAGATAGATAGATAGATAGATAGATAGAATATCTAGTTTGTAGGAACAGTAGCTAGCACTTAGATTTTTTTTTAAGTCTAAAAATCACCCCCCTGTACCAACGTAGCACAAGTCCTTTATGAAATGTTCTCAGTGCAAAGAGCAAACATAGCTTTCGTCGGCTGTAAGCCAGGGCTTTTTGCATTGTTCAGCTTTGTTTTGACAGTTTTATAGCAAAAGTCTCTTTCGAAAACTCCATAACAAAGCCATAAAGGCTTGCGGCCTGTCGATAATCCATCCATGCGTTTTCCTTGACCTGCTTATTCAATGTAGGCCTATCCCAGTAAGCACAGAGCCTTGGGCTGGATGTCAGTCCATCACAGGACATGCGCAGGCAGTATATGCAAACTGCACTTGGGGCTGGGGCAGAATCCGAAGCCCTCAAGGCATTAGGCCACAATTTCAGAATTCATATAATTTATAAACCTGAGATTTAAAATTTTCATATAGAAAGTCATGTGAGACATCGGTAATATGCTGTTGGTCATTCTCAGACACCTGCATTTCATCAGCATGTAATTATACATAATAGGTGCAGTCACTAGCCATTTGCCCTCTGTTAAAGTTTTAACAGTTGGATGAGGACGTATAACTGATTTTAGACTGCAGTTGTACGTGGAATACAGTAAGTGAGATAAAGACCCTTTACAGAGCAGTATTACATTTACCACACAATATAACATAAGCATAAGCAACACTTTATGAAATTAAAATGTACTCGATGTTCTATTCTGCCATGATACAATCCAGATCCCCGCATTACAGAGTTCTTACTGCTTCAAAGCACATTGCTCATATTTCTTTCAAGAAAAATCTGTCCAAATCCCACAGAAGACTCAAGCAAAAAAAGCGGATTTGTTTATATATAACAAAAAGCACTACAGTACCTGAATTGCTAGCTATGACCTCATATTGACTAAAGATTGCAGATTTCATACAGTATACATAGAAACGACTTAAGGTGTCAGTATTTCTATTAAAATAATCGGGGATATGGTAATCATAGGACACGTAATGTAGCAGAATTAATTATTATTACCAGGGATTGACATAACCAGTACGCAAGTACACATTTGTGGTATAAAAGATTAAATGTACAGTAATCTTTCATCATAAAAATGCAAATATGTACTTATTTTACTCGTATTTGCATTTTTATGACAAGAAATGACCACACATTTACTCATGTAAACCGCAAATGCATACTTGAATACCAGTTATGTCAATCCCTGATTATTATACCACACAACAGAACAAGTTGGCCATTTATTAACGCAGCTATAGAATGAGGCGTATTTTAAACCACTGCCCCTTTGCCACCTTCCTCCATGTTTCAAGATAAACATTTTGATGACTTTGCAGAATGATCACCTGGGTACAATGAACACAGGGTATAAGGCAGGGAATGTCCTAGATGGGATGCCAGACCCTAACAGGGCACAGACACACTTTCCCACAGACATACACGCATTGCTGCCAGTTTTGCGGCATTATTTTACTGGCCGCATGTCTTCGGACTATGGTAGGCAGGGCCTAGCCCACGTGACACCCAAGCTGAGCATCGCTGTCGACGTTCAAGTGAAATTGTCTGGCAAGTCAACGTCCCCTCAGAACTTACTCTAAGTATGCACTTTTGTTGCCTATAGGACTTACTGTAGGACTGACCGGCCCCGGCAGGAGGGACCCGGCGCGCCCACAGGACGCCCACGCCGCCTGCAAGACGGACCGGCCCCGGCGGGAGGGACCCGGCGCGCCCACAGGACGCCCACGCCGCCTGCAAGACGGACCGGCTCCGGCGGGAGGGACCCGGCGCGCCCACAGGACGCCCACGCCGCCTGCAAGACGGACCGGCCCCGGCGGGAGGGACCCACTATACATACACACTAATATCCCAAAAGACGTACATACAGCAGAATTATTACTCTACAGCAGGGGTGTCAAACTGCAGTCCTGGGGGGCCGGAGCCCTGTGTAGCTTAGTTCTTTCCCTGTTCCACCACAAATGATTCAGCTCAACTGCTATGTGGCAATTAGCACAAGAAGTTGAATCAGGTGTGTTAAACGAGGGTAAACCCAAAAATGTGCAGGGCTCTGGCCCTCCAGGACTGGAGTCTGACACCTGGGCTCTACAGCATAAACTCACAGAAGCTCGCTATTGTCATTCTGAGGCCAGTTAAATGGGCATCTAAGGCTCTCCATATTTTTTCCGGTCTTGCCAATATTTTTAAGCTGTTGGTTAGTAACTAATTGTCATACAGTTTCTCATCTGCTCTCTCAGCAGACAATCCCTTGATGATTGTTATGTTCAGTGTGTAGTTAGCCCACTATGGTGATGATGCAGCATAGCAATACTGGTTTAAAGGGTTACTGGGAATTGGCAGCTCATGTACAGAGAATGAAAAGACAAGTCTGTCGTATTGTGACATATCATGTGATGACCAAAGTGGCAGAATTTTCCTCCCCACCACCCCTGATTTGCATGGTGGGAGCTGAAAATAGTCACTAGTG